AGCAATGACGACGGCGACGCCGAAGACGACGCCTTGTAAAAGCTATGATTATATTTTACCTTCGACTGTCGCAACTGTGTAAATCTGTCCAGTACGCTTGTCAGTCTTAAAACTTGCTCAGGCTAATCATGCATCGATAGCGTTCAATTTGAAAAGACGATCAGCCATTGTGGTTCGCGTTCTACAAATTATGCAGAACTTGGTCATTTCACGTTAAAACAGGGAGTTCAAGTATCCACGACGCCGACGCCGAGGACAACGTCGATTAAAAAATGATTTTATATTTTATCTACGAATCTGGCGGTACTCTAAAGTTATTTACTTTGTCTATCACTGTCAAAACTATCACGAAACTGAATCTGGGAAATAGCGATAAATTTGAAAAAAAAATTTAAAAAAATTAGCCGTCGTGGTTCACGTTCTCCAGACATCGCAGAATTTGGTCATTTCACGTTGTTGTTTTGCCGAGGACGGTAAAGAAATGTACAAAGATTTATAACGCACGTGCACAGCCACTGTTCTGCTCATTAAATCTTTTGTTTAGCGACGTTCCCGTTGCGGTTGCCGTCATGGTTTTCTTAAACTCCCTGTTGTTGTTTCGCAGAGGACGGCAACGAAATGTACCAAGATTCAAAACGCACATGCAGAACCATTGTTCCACTCATTAAACCTTTTGTTTGGTGACGTACTCGTTGCCGTCGTCGTCGTGGTTTGCTAAAACTCCCTAAAGTCCCTACAGACGGGGATCGGGCATATATCTTTAACTTGTTCCCGGGGTCTCTCTTTCCCGTGGTGCCAAATTAAAGATAACGACCTGGAAGCAACTTTCGCAAATGAAAGCGAAAGCCAAGCGAAATATTTTCTCCCTGTAACCGGAATCTATTCTTGTGGTCTAAATAATGACCTGTCGAGTGTGATTGTGGTAAAAACCATTCAAGCCGAAGAGAATTCCAAATATATATGTTAATATAGTGGGTCGGCGGTTTAGTTGGCCAAACAAAATTAGGCATCCTTGATATGTTAATTCAGTGGATTCGAGTTCATTCGGCATCAGCTATGGTTAGAAAATACATATCAACAAACAAGCTTAGCAATGGCTCACTTGCAATTATTTTGATCAGCTATTCGGGTGAACGTTTAAAACTTGACAATTATGACCAACTAGTTATAGTGGAATTGCCTTGTATGATTCCCAGAAAAGTAGCTTAGCAATGGCTCTCTTCCAATTATTTTGATCAGCTATTCAGGTAATGAAGGTTTAAAATTAAGCTCAATATCTTGACAATTATGACCGACTATTTATAGTAGAATTGCCT